GGAAATGAATAACTTAGGGCCGATATTGGAACAATACAAACCAAATTAGGAGTTTCTGTGCCATGTAATTTGTTCCTCCCCCCCTTTCTTTCTCTCTTTGTACTTATGTGCCGGCTTCGGTAGACCACTGGACTCCTATCAGGATCGTGTTACGGCAATAACTAAGGCAACCGGAAACTGCACACTTGAAGCTAGTCCACTGCTCGAAATCAACAGCACAACTTCCACTGTCCACAAACTGTTTATTCATTCAGAAGCGAAATATTATAACTTCCTTTGGAAGCACGGAGTAATATGGCCCTTTATTATTATCAAACTTTAAAAATCAAAGTGAAGGACTGATGAATTTAGAGAAACATAAGGAGTGCAGTTCAATGGCGTCTGCCTCCGATCAATTCAAAACACCAAGTTTTTGAAGACTGGTATCCTGCGAGAGCATCGCTTTATCCCCCAAGAAGGATTTGAATCGACGGCCTCTCTCCCAGACAAGAATTCATTTCCTATTGGCTGATTTTAACTAGCCAAATACATCATGCAGTCAGCACAAGCCAATCGCATAAGACCCTTGAGAATAAAACAGTTCCCAAGATACAGAACTCGGAACCCCACATGTGAGATCGGTTAGTTTAGGGTCCAGCTACACCCTTCCGAAGACACTTTATTGCAGCTACACATGTCAACAAAACAAAATTCACATCTTCGGCAAACTACACACTTGCCTCCCGTGGTGACCTTGTCCCCTTCCGGTCTTCCAAAGAGCATGTAAATAAAAACAAAGCACTTGTTTCTGTCCAGATACGAAAAACAAGTCATAACATGCTAATAAATCGGTCTGGCCAATAAATCAGTCACCCGTTCGAAATGGCTAAAGAGGACCACAGCGTCCACGGAGAACTGCAGCAGGTTTGGACGGTCGCTCATTATTATTTCTTCGTATTCCTTCATGGGACTCTACATGTTTCGACCTAACTTTCCATCTTCAGGTGCACACGTTGTTGTGGTTAAGGAGTCTGCTGCTCACTTCAATGCGGCTTTCTTTCCTCCTATTTTAGTTGCCTCTGGTTAATTTGGTTATGTTGGTTGGACCTGGTTGCTCTTCTGTAATATATGATGCACTATGTTAGAGCTTCTTAAAGGTATACATGTATATATTCAGTTACTTGCAGCTGCACCCGGTAGAGTAGTTGGTTGAGGTATTATGCTACAAGCCGGAAGGTCGCGGGATCGAATCCCGATGAGGTTACTGGATTATTTTCAATTTACCTAATCCTTCCAGCCGCACTATGGCCCTGATGTCGACTCGTCCTCTAACAGAAATGAGTACCAGGAATATTCTTGGGGATAAAGGGCGGCTAGCGGGCATATGTTATGCCAATCCACATCAATTTTGTTGTGAAAATCTCATTTGTGTTGCAGAGCTGTATTAAAATCGAAATGGCCCTACGACTCTTTGTAAGATCCCCAAGTATGCAACTCAGGATTACATTTCGACTTTGCCCACCGTCCGGTAACCTTCGTCACTGGACAGCTGGACACTGATTGAGGTTAGCTCTTTCTAACTGACCCCCTAACATAGTGAAACAGACGAACAGACTGAAACAGATGCAGTTTCCGAAACGCTGTGTTCTTTGTATTTTTAGATTACCGGACGGTGGACAAGGGCCGAAATCCCAGTAATCCTGAGTGTTGTACACCATTGTCAGAACGCTTTGAAATCTGTGCAAGTATGAAACTGTATAAGAATCCGTCCAGCAGTCATTGACATGTGGCAGGCCGGATGGTCAGACACTCGCAGGCTCTCCTATATGCATTTCTTGCAAACTGTTCAGAGTCTCTCCGTTGCATTATAGAGCGTGAATGATGTGATACAGGATCGTTAGTAGCGTTCAGCCTTACAGAATGTCTGGATGAAAGGTATCCAAAATAAAAAAAAAAAATGTATCTCGGAAACTGTCATACACGTAACCGCTTTGTGTCATCGAAAAGGAAACTCTGAAAGTGTTTTTTTTTCCTTTTTTTCACGCCCGGCTTAAGCGCATGCGTCGAGCTCAGTAACGATGTCGACACCACAGGAACAGGTTCAGTGCTTGTTGTGGCTAGCAGAGTTGCAGACTCTTGAGGCTCTCCAGCGTCGTTTCAGAACGCAATATGGACGTCAACCTCCTACACGGGAAAACATTTGGTTCTGGGACAACAAACTGAGGACTACAGGTAGACTGTTGCGTGTAAAATCTCCTGGAAAAATACGGACCTCTGAAGAAAACGCCCATCGCATTAGAGAGATATTCCAGGGAAGTCCGCGCAAATCAATTCGTGCTGCTAGCTTGCAGTTACATACAAATTCCACGTTCGACAGTGCAAGATGTGCTACACAAAAGGCTCTGTCTAAGAGCGTACAAGATTCAAATGATTCATGCACTATAACCGAGTGACCAAGTAGCACGCACAAACTTCTCTGTGGCCACGCTAGAAAGAAGGGACGCGTCACCCAGTTTCCTCCTCCAAGCGTGCTTCTCGGGAGTGGAGTTGTAAACAGGCACAACTGCAGGATTTGGGGCAGTCAAACTCCACATGTCACATGTGAGTTGGAGATAGGCAGCCCCAAAGTGAACGTGTGGGGCGACTTAATGCACAGCAAATTGATTGGACCGTTTCTATTTTCGGAAAAACTGTGACCGGACGTTCGTACTTGGACATGTTGGAGCTGTATGCGCTGCCCCAATTATCAAGCTGTCCTCGAACGAGGTGGGGCGCCGCCACATTTCTGCCACCAAGTTAGGAATCACCTGGACAGAGAGTTGGGTGGGAGGTAGATCGGCAGGGGTAGACCAGTCGCTTGGCTTCCTTGGTCGCCAGATTTAACCTCATTGGATTTTTTCTTGTGGGGTTATGTGAAGAACATTGTTTACCACGTTAAGATCGACGACCTTCAAAATTTGTAAGCCCGCATAAGGGACGCTGTGGCTACGGTAACACCAAACATGCTTGAAGCAACGTGGAACGAGGTCGAATATCGTCTGGATATTTGTCGTGGCACCAAGGGAGCCCACATTTAAATTTACTGAGAAAATTATATCATAAAAAAATGATAGTTTCCCTTTGTAATGGTGTAATCCATAAATCTGTATAGTAAATGCTTTCTGGGATATAATTACTTTATTTTGGATACCTTTCAACCGGACACTCTGTATAGAATGCGATGTTAGGAATGTCTTGTGTTGACGCAGTCTCAGTAAGGGAACGCAGAAAAGTTCACAAAAAATATCAATACAGACTGGCAGTGATCTTTACAAAGGTTTATTTGATTTCAATCTCAACATACTATAATAAGATATATGTATATAACAGGTACACAATTAAAAAACAGTCTGAATTACAATTTATATACATACATAAAATATAGTGTACAGTTACAATTACTGTAATAATAGGCACTATGTTTCCATAATATATAAAACATCGCACATTCCAAGAAGTGTGTATGTGGTCTCACAGAGTACAGATCTAGTGGAATTAAGACTCAATATTAACATTCATTTTAGAGCTGCACAGCGATATAATAATTTATTGTCCTTCGTAAGTAGCATATATTTTCCCAAAGCCTTCTGTTCAGAAGTTTGTATAGCTAATCAGTTTCACTTTACTTGGACTGGGGTGAGACTGAGCCCCATGGTGCTGCTGTCTCAAATGGGACTATTATACCAATCCCTGATGGTGGTTGAGTATGGAGCATTGGTTGGCTGAAAACCGAAACGACGGAAACTGTGTCTACCACATATTCCACGCAATTGCCACGGCACTGAGCTAGGACTCGCCCGCTTCTTGAGCTGCCACATGGCCTCAAATTAAACTAAAACAATGATTTGTTGTGCAGAAAAATATACTCCATCAAACAAAATTTTATCCATATATAATGATTGCTCTTTTAACATTATTAAAGTCACTTAATAAATTCCCTTAAATCTTGTATTAGGTCTAATTATTTTAGCAGCATTGATAGGCAGTGTTCATAGAGATTAAGACCACAGAATCAATATGAAATAATGGTGTAACATGAAACGCAGTTTCCTTTTTGCTATTTCAGAACTGGGGATAGGGGAGTTATTCTCCCTTAAATGTGGATATTTAAAAAATTGCATTAGTATTTACTTCCAACTAATATTTTTGATTATGAAATTGAATAGGCAGACAAAGATTCATGTATACGTGACGCATTTTTAATACGTTCATATCATCCAAAGGTTCCTTACAGGCGAATACATTTATTTTGAAGTGAAATTCTCGTAAAATATTGGCCTAGGGAATTGCCTGAAACTTTTCACAACCAACTTCAGGAAATTAGACTTTACGACTTCACAGTTATGCTGCTTGCTTCACGGTATCTGTGTTCTCAAATACGCACTGTTCACAACCTCTTGACCTTTAAACACGTTGAAGCAAAATTACAAAATGCCCTGTAAATATTTTATGTCCTCTTGGCCAAGAAACCCTCTTTGAGACATTTCAGAAGCGTTTATAAATAACTACATTTGTAAAATATTTTGACGCCGTGTCTCTAGCAACTCGTAATACACGTATACAATCATATGTTGTAGAATCTTAAGTCTTTTTTTTTTGCAGCAAACACGGCTCACATCGGCTCTATTTTAGGGACTGAGAGGGACTAAGAACTATAACCGCTTGTTTTTGACCACTCTGCTATGTCAACTGGCGATGTTGAATAGCTTAACGGAAGCAAAATGAATGGAAGAGACATCTTGGTAAATTTCCCCGCGAAGCTTCTTGTATTATGTAGGATTTGAGGTTCTCAGAGCAGTGAGCATAGGGGGTTTCTATCTTATATGATCTCACGTCATGTAGTCAATTAAAAGTCAACAGACGTTTCGGAGAAACATGTCGCCTCCATCTTCAGGGTCGAAGAATAAGCTTGCTTTACTTGCTACATACTTCATGCTGGTTTCTTGCTTGGCTTGTTTTTCGACGCTGAATATTGAGGAAATATTTTCTTCCGAAATGTCTATTTACTTTCATTGGACTACACGACGTTATATCCCAGAAGATAAAAATCTTCCTATGTTGCTCTGTTAGTGAGAGCAATGAATCGAAACTAAGGTTATTATTTACTGCAGAGAATACTGCAGCTGGCTCTGTTTGATATGTTTCTTTCGAAATGTCTAACATCTGAAAATTAACGTAATTCATGGACTGAAACATCGACACTCTATGGCAATACAGTAACAGTATTATATTTATAACAATTATTAAACTATTTTGAGAAACACGTGACCAAATTAACTCGAAAATTTTGATGTAGGAGTTATCGAATCATTTTCCATATTCTTGACGTGTCTGGATCTAAACCCGATTTAAAGTAACTATCCCGAATTAATTCGTTCTTTATCTCACCATTCAAAATATGAGGATGGAGGTGTGAGCAGTAACAGACAAGCATATCACTTGACAGTAAGGGTCCTTACACTACAGGGAATTATTTAATATGCCAACTGATAATCGTGATTTTGGAAAAGAAAGCATTTTTTTTTTGCTGTTTATGTGTAATGGAACGAGTTGGCATGTGCGTAACCAGAATCCGAGTAAGTTAGTACCACATGCTTTTCCTGTAGACTCACAGTATAATTTTTAATAATCGTAGCTGGTATTTCTCTTTCCGGTCCAACTTCGCACAACACAGAGCCCTGTGATACAAATCCCACTTGTTGGTCAATAAACTATATTGCAACGGCTTGGTAGACACGTTCAAACATGCAACAATGGAAGATGTATCTGAGTGCTCGTTGCTAAGCAATAGTCAGCGCGCCACTGAACTCGCTGGCTAGGAATCACGTGACTTATGTGTTCTCTGTTGTCCGTGTGGAGCCTATATAACGAAGACCTGTTGTAGCTTAGATTAGTGCAGAGTGCAATGCAGTGCAGTGTAGTCAAGAGTCCAGAAGAGTTTTTAGTTGAGTTAAGAGGTTCCGGGGTGATGGAACAAGAAATGGCAAGAACACTTCAAAGTGACTTTATGTGATAGTTTCTGTGTCGAGATCTGTTGCCAGGAGACGACTGATGAAGGCTGGGAATCTTAGTGCGTGTACAACGGTGGACTGGAAAGTGTGTAGAACAGCGATAGGGCTCCATTAAGTGTGATTAAGAGAACTTGAAACCGAAGTGCCAATGAACCCAATCGAACTAGAACCCGTTATTTTCGTCACACGTACCACCCTATACGTGACAATGTTAAGCACTATAATCGGACGTTCATTACGCCAGTGATAGTCTTTCCGTTCAACGATAGGCAGTGATCGGTCCCTTGCCTGGAGTTTGCTGGCCAACGAATCAGGTACTATCATTATACGTGCACTTTACTGCAAGTTCATATTCTAGGGCAAGTTATGGAATGGAATGAGAATTAAACGTGCCTTGTATCTTCCTACATTCCCGTTACATTTCCTGAAGGAACCAGTTTGCAAAGGCGCTTTAATACCGTATAATAGACAGGTGATACGATTGCAAATTTAGGTTTCATGTTAGTCCTATTATAATGCTGCATGTATAATTATCAATAGCCTATTAAAGACCTAGGATATATAGTACAGATTTATTGATGTTCATTTTCAACAACAGTGAACAGTATACTGTCTGTCAGAAGATAGATGTCAGTAGGCACAACCCCCCACTCCTTCATTCTATGAGCATAACAAGTTGTATCCCTTCCCCCACTTACCTCCGTACTGTCATCTCTGGTCTCACAGACAGTAGTTGAATTCAAAACAGCAACTATACGCAAATTATTGGTATGCATCATGCGTAACGATTTTATTTTAATCAGTAATGGAAGGCTCATTACAATATAACATTTTAATATCAGTATACAATCTCATGACATACGCTATTTACAAAACCAGCCATGGCGTGAACTGAATGGAAAACAGAACTGAAAACACGTAAGTACCTCACGTCAGTGGCTATTAAATGAGAAAGATTAACAACTGTGTTCATGGCTGCTTATGTAAATAAGATACTTACATTCCTTCAATTATTTATGCATTTGCTTAATTCCATCTCGAAACAGATATTCCAGCTCCAATGTCTAAATGTTATTGCTACGAATAATCACAGCACGAAAGCAATAGATGAAGGCCACGGAAAATAATTCCATACCTTATTCTTATCAGTTGTGTTTCTTTATAGATTTATCGGAAAGGTCGGACGGAACACTGTGTAACGATGTTACGTTTCATGAACATGTATAATGGCAAAACTTATTTCTATCAGAACAAACGCACACCGAGACCTCATATCATGTACCAATAAACAAAAAACTAAGAATAGGTGGAGTAAAATATACAAGAAACAGAGCAAAACAACACAAAAAGGTATTGTAGCAGTGCAAAAATATCTGAAACCTTGATAGATTTTCTAGAACTAGCTTGCTCAAATTCCCTTTTTCAAACAAAAGTTATAAGTATTAAAATAACAATAGCAATGTATGTATTTTGAACTAGCACAATTCTGTGTGAAAGCTGATTTTGGTTTCTAAAGCTACAGTGGTATGATACAAGGAAGGGATATTACCCCTATTTTAAGATATGTACAGGACCACGATATGTACACACAAACATGAATATTTGGATATAACGGGAGAACTTGTGTAGAATTGAGAAATGATTATAATAAAACTTCCCCTATTTTTGTCAAGTTTAGGGTATGACGTCGCCCTCATGTTCCAATGACTTTACGGCGCCCTTTTTTCCCACATAGCAGTCCATTCAATTTTAAGGAAAAGCCTTATTAAAACGGTTACAATGATTTTTCAGTACCAAGTTCCATGCACTGATATTTATTACACCCATTAATTTCACATATTTATCCGGCAAGTGAAGATCATATGTGCTCTAAGTTGTCATATACTCACTTCATAACTTCCAACCACACATAATTTATAAAATTCATTAAACTCAACAGGTGAAACTTCGTTGTAATACAAGTAACAGTGACTGTTAAAATATAAAAATATAGGAACCTTGAGGCGTGTTTAGTATTTTTTGTCATGAAATATTCGATATTGCAATGGTGACTGCTCCCAATATTGTCTCTAAAATTATCCCGCCTTATGAGTCAATTATATTCGTCTCTATAAGAACTTTGTATTTTCAACCTGTGTGTATAATTGTATAACAAGGAATAAGGCTTCTAATGGTGACATTTCTGAGCAAAAATGCCTCTAGTCAATTTATAAAAACTGTAATTACGTACCGAATAATCGTGAAGAAAATATTTCGTGTTATCTGCATTAACACATGCGTTATCTTCTGTATTTGAACATCTCCAATCTCCAACTGAAAACGCTAGACCTAAGGCAGTATTAAAATATTTCTCCTTGCGTACTTGTAGATTCATTGACACTAGCAGCGGAGAATAAAACTTCCGTACAGTCCTAATTACCTTCCAGATTTGCCTTATTTAGTCACTTCCTTGTGCCTAAAAGCTTCACAACAATCCGGAATTCTTATTGCGGATATGCCGAATTTTAAGAAGAGCAGCAACAAGATAAAAGTGGTTAGGAAATTTATAATTACTTAAAATTTCAGGGACGTTTATACTTCAATTGCTTGCCTTTCTAAGGCGATAAGAAAAGCATTAATTTGACATACTGGCAAAGAAGGTTATAATTTATGTCTGTAGATTTCTTTGGTTTATACATTACTTATATATGATATTAGAAGTGTCCATTTGTCTTGTAAATTAAACTGTAACCCCTGCGAAAATAAGAGCACTCTCCGAAGAACTGAAAACGTAGCGAAGCCGAACTCCTGACGGATAAGAACTCCCGCACTCGGCATGCAGTCATGAGCATACCCCGCGGACAGATCAACTGCTGTAGCACGTTTTGCGAACATCTGCAAGTATCACACTAAAGTCATCCTCCGTTTTAATTTGCTGCATTTGCTGCTGCTGCTGCTGGTTGGGGAACTCACACTGCTGCACTTGCTGTCCTTCGGGTGCGCCGTAAGAGGCAACTCCGTGATGGGGATTCACATGCAGGACAGAGGGTTCCGTCTTCAGGATATGCCCACCATTACTCAGGATAGGATGATTATAGTACCCGTGACTTTGCTGAATTTGATGGTGGCTGCTTGGTGACAGTGAATGGTGGTGATGGTGGTGATAGTTGTGATTGGAATCCATCTGCATTGCTGTTCCCGTTTCATTACCTTCAAGGGTTGCTTGAGGTTGTCCTGAATATTTTAGATATTTATCGAATTCGTTAGTATCGACTCCACCATCTGTTGCGTCACCTAGGATGAGATCATCGTCGTCTGACTGGCTCACGTACGACATGTGGTGAGGCGGATGGTGAGAATGAGGCGACTGTGACGTCACAACGCTGTGGTGATAACTGCGGCCATGCTGATCATCTGCCATAATGACTCCACCTGGAAATGCAAACGAATGATCATTATTGAGCTGTAATCATGTGTTTTAATCTGTGGATCCAGACACTTAGCCAGTTGCTAGATCCATCAAACATTAAATTTAGGTTTACATGTATGACAAGATGGTTATTCGACGTCCCTTCCTTCATAGCGAAGTACTTTCAGCAAGACTACACTTTGAGTTTCTCTGAAAATTCGGCAGACCGGCATGCAAAACGCGATACAACCAGACGAATTGGATAAATGCGTGCATCTGAACGAACAGTCATGAGAACATTAAGACATCTGTAACATCGCATTAGCTGATCAGTTTCTACATTACTGAGACGAACTGTAGCTAATATTATGAACTATAGCAAGGGAAAAGAGTTGTGAGTTATGTTTCCGATTTAACCGGAAATAATTTTGAAACTGAATTGGTATCATGGATGAAGAACTATCTTTTCCCTAAAGCATATTTTAGGCCGCGCCATAGCTCGAGCGGTTAGTCGCTGGCTTCACATCGCGGCGGCCCGGGTTCGATCCCGGGTCTGGTCAAGTGAGATTTGTGGATCTTCATTCCACCAATTGCTCCACAATTACCCTCACCTATCATCTGGGTCTGGTGCAATAGGCCAGAAGTGGCCGCAGTACAAGGGACTTAGTCTCACCTCACTAGCAATAAAAAAGGGCAAATTTTAGGTTATAAAACAACGGAGGGTAACTAAGATGGAGAAGAGAATATTTTCGGTAACTTTTCTCTCTTGAACTTAAAGGTACTTATGGCCTTATAACATTGTCCCGCATGACGACTAGTAACCGCTTATGACATCAGCATTAAAAGAGTTACGAGAGGATGACCTCTGAAGGACTAGGCTAAGTTTCGGTTTATACGTGCACCGTCAAGACGTGTATTGCGAAACCGCGGCCAATAAGAGAGAGTCTTTCAAAGGGCAATACATAAATAACATACGCATGTGTGTCAGCCAAATATCCTGTATAATTTTATTATCTGCTGCTTTGTAATGGAGATACATATGATTTTGGAAAAAAAGTTTAATCATTTAAAAATATGTAAGATTTGAGGCTTTCACGGCGGTGACTATGAAGAAAGCAGTCTTCTGGGATTTGGCACCGTGTATATGTGGTGTTAACCGACGTTTCGGAGGAACGTATCGCCCCCATCTTCAGGGTTGAAGAAGTATAGGTAAATCTGCAAGCGACAACACCGTGAGACACGGTCAANGAGTGAACGAATACAGAGGTTGGATTCAAGTAATGACTTGCGAAGCAGCAACTGTCATGAGCAAGTAATATGTTTCAAGATAAGAAGTAATTTGAAAAATCGTTCCTCCAGAACACTGTATATTATTATCGAAATTTTGTTTTGCGAAATTTCTGTCAAATACGGAAGAAGTTGGACAGTAATGTAGGAAACTTTCTGGCGACTACGCAACTAAAAGAAACGAGATTGTTACACTGATTCATGTCCATGGTTTATGCTGACCGTCTTACAGTGTATACACTTTTTTACCTTATTCTTCACTTCCACACTACATGTTTCAGCACTAATGTGCCATCCTCAGGTGTCTTTATGCACGTTAAACTATTGTACTGCATGCCATGATGTCTTCATTCTAAAATGACTAAAATCTGTATTCGTCATATATGTCGATGAATTCTAAATAATAAAACTTTTCAGGATTCATCCTACGTCGCACTCAAACACGCGAATTACGCCAATCCTCTTTTATGTGAGCATTCTTCCTACATAAATTTGTGTATCGTGTTCTGTGTTGTGTTTTGCTCCTGTTGCTGCATGCGTTGTACTGCTGGAAGACAGCACACACACACACACACACATCCAGGTTTTCTCCGAGTACCTCTGTTTCCCCTGCCAATCTTCATTCTACCAGTTGCTCCACAATCACCCTCACCTATCATCTGGGGCTGGTAAAATAGGCCAGAAGTGGCCGCAGTACAAGGGACTTAGTCCCACCCCACTAGCAATAAAAAAAATAGTGTTGTTCATGTAAATAAAATTAAAGCAAGTCCTTGTCCAAGAGTGACTTTGCCGATCACAGGTATGAACTGTCTCTGCTCGCTCGAACGCTGGGATCTTGGGTTCGAATCCCACTTGAGGCATGGATATCTGTGTGCGTTTATTCTTTGTTTGTGTTGTTCTGTGTGTAGGTAGCGATCTTGCGACGGACTGATCCCCTGTCCAAGGAGTCCTATCGACTATGTAAAAGTTCAAGAAAATGAAAAAGCGGCCAAGTTCCACAAGGGCTGTAGAGAGAGAGAGAGAGAGAGAGAGAGAGAGAGAGTGACTTTTGATAAGGTGGAAATATCAGACAGACCAACTTGCACGCTAATATTATGTAATGGTATGCCCTGAAGTCAGCAGAGATTCTGCATCTTCATACGTCCTAGCTTAAGTTTCTGAGAGGAGAGAGAGAGAGAGAGAGCAGAATTAGCAGCGATTTCATAGACTCGGCATACATGAAGCGAGAGATTCCTTATGCAACTCTCACACAGCCTTGTCTTTTCTGTCAGAAATTAAGCATTAAAATAACTATGTTTAAACCCCACCACTATTCACCGCAGATAAACGTGTTTTCTGAAAGTGCCTTTATTGAGTTAACTTGCGAAAGAGTGTGGGGAGAAGGAGGGCTTCTGGTCATTCATTAAAACTATATTATAGTAATTTTTATTTTTCAATTCTACAGAAAGAGCTGAATCACAGATCAAGCAAGTTAATGCAAAAGTGTCGCAAGTCAATTCAATGTGTTCACTGTCTTGATCTTTTGTTTAATTCTTAGTTGATTTAACGCCGCTATGGAGATCTGGAAAGCTTGTGGCAGGAAGTGATCAGAGTCGATAGTCTCGCTGTATTCCATGCTGACAACCCCTTCAATTTATGACATGGCGATAAGAATCGATAAATCGAACAATAAATCAAATAGATCCTAAAGGGTTCTGACGATGTTTTATAACACTCAGAATTACTGAGATTTTGGACTTTTTCCATCGCCCGGTATTCTAGAGAATAGAAAACACGACGATTCGGGAACTGGATCTGTTTCCATCCTCACGCTAAATTACCGTGGTATCAAGTGATTAAATAACTGTGTAAAACTGACAGGGGTTGAAGATGCCGTCTTGTGGCATGTGGGGCCGTGTAGATATTTTCTTTGCCGACGTTTCGGAGGAACGTATCGCCTCCATCTTCAGGGTATAAGAAATCCGCAAGCGATGAACCAACGTGAGCAGGTGTGTTCGCTCGCTGGTTTCTTATACCCTGAAGATGGAGGCAATACGTTCCTCCGAAACGTCGGCCAAGAAAATATCTCCACGGTGCCACATCCAAGAAGACGTCATTCTTCATTGTCACCGCCGTGAAAACCTCAGATCTTACTGACAGGCGTTGTCCAGCGATGGAGGTTAGTTATTTCTAAGGGGCCCGACTGAGTAGGCGCTTGCTCTCCATTCACCTGAGGGTGGAAACGCCGTGTTTTCTATTCTCCAGAATACCGGACGATGGAAAAAGCCCCAAAACCCAGTAATTCTGTGAATAACTCGAACAGTTTTGTCTGTAAGTTCGTGCAGGTACCGGGAAATATGAGTCGAACTGTTTATGATATTTTTAACTGTACATGACATACGAGCAACAGCCTTCAGAATCTTGATGTCTACATTTACTTCGAGAATTTATTCGTGATTAGAATTTTAAGACTGTCTGTGATGTTTTGAGTTTATAGCATAAATATAACGTTAAACTACGGTAACAGCATTGTACTTACTGTGATATCGAACAATCTGTATTCTTCAGAGTTGAATTTGCATTGTATTTCACACTGCAAAAATAATTTGTTGTTTACAGTGGTATTTGTACCATGTTCCCAAATAAATGTAAGAAGTAATGGCACTGTTCCAAGCATGAACCCGAAGGTTCATTACTGTGTTCACAAGAGCCCTCCACTGGTCCTCACCCTGATCCAAATCAATCCAATCCATACCATCCCAGCCTATCTCTCTAATATCCATTTTAATATTGTCCACCCATCCATATATTGATATTTTTAGTGGTCTTTTTCCTTCTGGCTTTCCCACCAATATCCTATATGCATTTCTCTTCTCCCCGTTCGTGCTACATGCCATGCCCATCTCATGCTCCTTGACTTGATCATTCTAATTATACTAGGTGAAGAGTACAAGTTATGAAGCTCCTCATTATGCAGTTTACTCTAACCTCCCGTCATTTCATCTCTCTTCGATCCAAATATTCTCTTAAACACCCTGTTCTCAAACACCCTCAGTCTATATTCCTCCGTTAATGTCAGAGAGCAAGGTTCACACCGGTACAGAACCACAGGCAAAACTATAGTTTTGTATGCTCCATGAGTGAACGGCACTGTTAGATTAAGCAAATTGTGCCTGTTGTACATACAGTCTGTGTCTCGAATCTTCAGTTAAATTAATCTCATTAGTCCTTCGCAATGCACGGACATATTCAAAAGAATCTGCAAAGGTTTGAGTTGTCCACTGTTTCAGCGGTTGGCTGTACAACCTCTTCCAGTTATGACTGGTTTTCACTATATTGACATATGTTCACTATTTCTTATCAAAATCGGGACCTTTTGAATGTTAAAACAGTAGGCATACGCTGATCAACTCACCATTGGGGCAGCTCAATAATGGTTTCCACTTCGATTCTAACCTTTGTTCCTAATCTTTTTCTCAATCGGCCCTGTACAACGACGTTAAATTAGCCAAGAATGGAACGGTACCTACATGTAAGATGCCTGATAGCGTGGTATGTGCAACTGACAGGACGCGGCATATGTCTGTCATCTTTCCAAGGTTACTTTAACCTTAATACGACTAAGGAGAATGAAGGAACAGGTAAATTCCACGCCATTTGCAGGTGGTGATATCATGGGGCCAGTATCATAGTGATTGAAAGTAATCAGAGTAGCTCTCTGTCAGGATCACAGATGTAAATATAAAGAGAAAACAAA